GACCAATGTGTACCGGGTCCACGATAGATTGACGTCGAAACAGACTCCTCTTTTGCTCATTCAAATTGCCTCCCGAGGCTGCAAAACTCGGATGGTCTCGGAATTCTTTGGAATTTTTCGTGTTGTTGCCAGCCTTGTTCAGCTTCAGAGTAACAATTTTCGACAGTCTCCCCACCAAGTCAATCGGCAAGCTAAATGGATTGGCAGTGAGGCTCTGTGTGGCGATCCGGATTACGTTGTAGATCTGAAAAGAATTGTACTAACAGGTGAGGAAATCGGCAGAACAAAATCATACTATAAGCCCTATAGATTGCTGTGTTTTCGGCCCATCTACCTATTTTCATAGTAAGTTAAAATTGAACATGAGTCGCCTTGAGTCTAATGCCTACACTGCAATGAGTATAAGGCCACATGATCTCAATAAATTTCACTTGACCTGTTCTCCGGCCCAGATTTCATAAGCTCATGTACTTCATTTAGCAACGTTGACACTCTTTCGTGCAACCAGGAATGACAGAGGGTAGCAGGGGAGTTGTAGCTTTTTAGATAATCCCATTATATACTACTGTTTGTCTACTCACCTGGTATATATTACAGTCGTAGATTATCAAGTCAAATGAAGTGTTTCGTTTATAAGTAAGCTATCAAGTAACCAGTAGATCTGATATAAGAGCTTTATTCATCCTACTTCTTTTAAGATTATGAAGGATGCTGAAATGATGGGAAATATTTGTCTCCTTGATGAGTTGTAGCTTGATGCACAGATTGGCAAGGCTCATTTATGATGCGAACAAAACGTCCGGAAATCTACTACACCCATGGTCCAACACTTGAAAGTATAACAACTTTCATGGCCAACGTCTTCGAATAATATAAAATTTCCTCGAGGTTTGTCTGACGACACGACCAAGTTGAGAAAACAAGATCGGACTAATTTACGATTATAAGCAGGTTTTCAAAATTTTTATATAAAATCTACCGATAATCTCGAAAACCTAATTATAAACTGAAAATAAACAATGATGACGATTGCTATAGCAGATACACCTTTGTTACATCGACAATCCCAACACAGAAATGTGATATGGGAAAGGCCTAGGCTTACTAAAATTCATTTTCAAGTACCGCTGGGGGTGTTGCTGAGACCCAAGCGAGGAGAAAACCTTAGTCCAGTTCAGCCTGGTTGATAATATTCATTGCGAAGTAAAACTGTGAAGTTAATGGGAAACATGAGGCCCACTCATATAACTGTGAAAAAATTCAACTACCAGTCCTTCGTCTTCTTAAATTGAGTAGTGTAAAAAGAGCTCTTATATCAGATCCACTGCTAGTCTTGATCTGATATGCCGTGAGTGACATCTGCCATATTATCCAATAGCATCCTCTGTACGAACTATTTTGTTTCGAATGCAGTTGTGTATGCTGACGCTACTAGACTCCGGTGAAGCTGAAATTCCAGCCCAGCCGAGATAAAAAAGGTAATGGTAATGGAAAGCCCAATGGCAGCTTGAGGCTTTCTAATCATTTCATTATGTGAAATTGAACAAGCATTAATTACAACACTAATTGACATAGAGGGATTCACACTTCTTTCTTTCTCATACACACATGCACTACTTTTTCTTCGATGCGAATCTAATCGGGATTAATTAAAACAGCCCCCTTCTGCATTGAGGCCCACTGCGTCATATACTCCAAATTGTGCTCTTTTTTCAAGAAATTAAATTTATAATGGCCACGACCAGCCGAGTATCAGCAACTCGTTTGTCTATAAAGAGAAAATTCCTACTAAAAAATTTGGTATGAAAGAGGCGTAATTTGAGCGTGCAGCTCAGATGCACAAGACTTGTATGGCCTGAGGGGCAAGGTTTGGGCAAGTCTCGAGTTCGAAGCCTGTTAGACGTTTAAAGGATACTTAGACGAAGTGGAACCTTCAACCAAATATATACG